TTATATACTAAAGTAGTGCAGTATCAATTTGTTGATACTTGAAGTTCACTTTCATGTGATCCTGATTCATTTGCAGCAAGTCAAGAGATCAGTCAATGAATATTAATGCAATACTGTAGAGTAATTCCAAATAAAATTGTGGCATTGCTGTCATCATTGTCACTTGTTAATGGCAACCAAATTAGTATTATCATTGTAGGACCAATTCATCCATTCAGATTATGACAACTGAAAAATAAAGAAGATAAGTAGTACTAGCTAGCTGTCATTATATAATGCACTGGTCCAGCTTCTGATGTATATTATTGTTTAGGGAGGCCTCTTGGGGCATATTTCCTCTCTGAAGATTAATTTATTTTATAATACTGTATCTCATCAGTTATGCTCTCTGACTTTTCTGAAGGATGACAACTTTTGACCAGCTCCAGTGAGAGATTATCTTAATCTAAGACATTGAAAAAGTAACTGTGTACTGTATATCACAACCAAACATACTCATGCGGTGAATATCCTCCGTTTACATGTTAAATTTCTGTATTGTTAAATTTCTGTACCGTATTTCTTTCACTCTGCATATTGTTCAACTCAAGATATTGCTTTCAAGCGCTGCAATTTCATAACTTCTGATTTTGGATCATAAGGAAGTTTAGGCCCCCAGCTTATTTTGCCTGATGATTAAATAATTAGCTGTACTCAAATACAGTACAAACTTCACTTAACCTTATCTAATCTAACCCCTGCCTAAATAGCAATAGGGTGTTTTAATCATCAGGTGAAGTAAGCTGGGGCTACTCAAATTTTCACTTCCTTATATGTCCTTACTCTCCTTTAAAGTAGTGATATCGACTCGACAATTCATGTATACATCCTCAACTTCCATTGGCACCTCCATACACTTTTCATGTACCTGTTTCTTCTCTCCTGCACTATTTTATGATTTACTTAATCTGTTGTTTCATTGGTCAACATATCTACTCCCATATGTCTTGAACATACTTTCCTCCAATTTGTCTCCAGTCAAGCACATATTCATTTTACTTTGCATTATCTTCTAAACCCTTGCACCTTAGCCCAAATTTAGCCATTTGGGCAGTTTTCTATTATACACTGTTGGTGAGTACAGGGCATGTACAGGCTCTTTGTTACACACTGTTGGCAAGTACTGACATGTACAGGCTAATACTGTATAGGAAATACAATTCGTTTCATGGCCAACAGGTCATTTGACAAGTGCCCTCAGAAGACTCCACCACCAGAACACTTGTGAGACAACCATATCTGAGGTATTTTAAAGCTGCAACGCCATCTTATTTATTTATTTTATTTTTTCACTACTTAACAGCTTACTAGCCATTCAGGCAGTCAGGTTTTTCTTTAATGTTTTGTTATGACCTTCTATTGTTTAGTGTTAGTACAGGAGGAAACTGTAGTACTGTACCTGAAAACCTGCCATGTTTGGTAGGTTACACTGTCTTGTTGGGTCAGTGTAACTGCCATTTAACTTATACTCCCTCAAATCAGGTCATGTAAAACAAAGCTCTGGCCTCTAATCTAGATACTTCAAGACCCATTAAGTTAGAGGTCACTGGTGCTGGTTCACTTGATCTGAAGCTGTCGGTTCTGAACTTGTTATAAATATAATTCTTTACAGTTTTACCCATACAGTACCTGCCTCTGGCTTATTGGCAAGTGGCTGTCCATGGTGTCCTGCATTACATCTTTGGTTTCTATGGGAAAAAGATGACTTCATTCTGCCCTTAATTGGCATTTGAGATTCACCACACAATCCCTTATAAGTGTTTCTGTTTGAGGTTCATACTATTTGGTGGGTGATTTGCCATCTTGTTATTTAGAAAGTAAATGTTAATTTTCATTTAACTGTAGTAGATAAATAATGGTGTGTCAGTTGTGATGTTGACACTTTACAAGTGTTTGCATAAAGCCATGTATTGCTTGACCATTCAGGTTCATTGAAAAAATTTTTTGTACAATAGTTTTATCATTCTCAGTAAGACAAAAAAACATTTTTGGTACAGTGGTAGCAATCTTGCCTTTCACAAATGTAGTCACAGATTCAAATCCTAGAAGTCACAAGTGTAAAGGGTTGTTATCCAGATGTGATCATACCAAACATGGCAGGTTTTCTCCAGGTACAGGTATCCTTCACTATACAAATGTTTGAGTTACAAAAATTGCTTATATGATTTTCCTAAATTAATACCTCTTTTTCATGTTACAAAACCTTCGGCCCTGCTTATACGATTTGGGTCCGGCAAAAATTTAAAGCACATGCCCCGAAGTCAACTGAGGCGACCGTCTTGGAGAGATGTGCAGAAACATATTCTTGTCCACACACCCTCTCCCCCACATCTCCCACAAGCCTGCCTTTCCTTGTCATTTTTGTGTGAAGTGCCTTTGTATCCATGCGTACTATATTTGTATCATCCTTTTGTCATGGCATCCAAGCATTCTCCAAATCTTTGGTGACCCGCATTACACCAAAGAAAATATGAAAGGCTGTGACCCTTGAAACAGCAGTGATGAGGTGGACAGCCTCTTCATGGTGCTGACCCATCCTCACCCCCTTGTGGTGAGCCCAGACAGTCCTCCCATAAGGTAATGTACCAGAGTTATACATTATTTTATTTATGTTTTTAATGTGTTAGGTAGTAAATAACAGGTGTTGTGTACTATTTATCATTAGTTAGGTAGGTATATTTTTGGGGACCGATTTCATGTTTTGGGGTATCATATTGGAGATGAGTGATTCATGGATTAAGAATGTGGAGGTATGAGGTAGGTAGGGGATCAAGATTTGTCTCCACAAATTTTGTCTCATAAATGTTAGAATCCTAAATGGTGTTTGTTCACTGTGAAGAACAGTTATTGCAAATTTCTAAGGTAAAATTATACAGAATTTAGATGAGGAGATGGACCTGGGACCCTGGTATCTCCTCCTGCAGTATCTTGGTTTAGATATGGAAGGAGGACTTTTTAGCTAAGAATCATTTATTCAGAAGTTTAGGTTTATACAGTATGTCCTCTGTGACACAACTGTGGTATCTTCTTTACTTGGACAGTTTGAGTGTATTGGAATCTGCCATAACAGTCCAATATTAATGGGAAGGTCCCACAGAGTGGACTTGCAGCTGGTACTGTTACCATGGTTACTTTTTCTTTGACTTGGCCAGACCAGGTCTCTGTTTTGTACTGTTCTCCTATCCCTAATATATAGGAAACTTTACTGGTTTCCTTGTTTGGTCCAAAGTATATGGATAAACTGGATACTACATTATTGGTCAGGTAAAAGGAGTAATAGCCACAGAAAGTAACACAATACTAACATCTGTCCTCCTTTAGGTCAAGCACTAAGTCTCAGGGCCATCCCTTCACATTTAATCTGGGATAAAGTTGCAACCCACTTCTCCTCCCCAGAATTCTCATTATTTTATGAAGGAAGTCAAAAGGTTGAAAGCCCTCACTGGAGAGAATTCTCTGACAGCTAAACGGTGAAGGTGAAAGCCTCAAAGTGAGTGATTTTCTTCCTTGTCCGACATTCACCCAACCTGTTTTTCTCCAGTGATTGAAGTTAAGACTAAAGAGACAATCCTTTTGTGGTAGGGGACAGGTGTCTTCCTCCTAGGATTAGATGCTTCAGCCACCTTCTCATTTTCCAGTGTCATCAAAATCTAAGGGAAGAGGAAAGAGTTTTTCTGCCAGAGTCTAAAATTCTGCAGAACTTTAGAATGAGGAATGTGTTCTTAGTTATACACCACAAGTCTAACTTACTTTATCCTTTTTGTCACTGCTCAGCTCCCGAGTTGGTCATATCTCTGTTATACACCATTGGTACCTTAGGCATGTACTGGTTCCAGAATGTATCTGAACTGTATAGGATCTTGCGTATAGAAAGCAAGATCCCCTATACCTGCCCCAGTGTTGATCAAGTCTGGTCTTGAATGAGCTCACACTTGGTGCCGTTACAATACTCTCTGGCAGATGGTTCCAAGAGTTCACAACTCTCACTTCAAAAAGTTTGCCCCTACAATTTTTCTGAGCTTGTGGCTTCTTCAACCTGAAATTGTGATTCCAAGTGGGGTGGGCATCTGCTAGCTCCAGATAGGAATACTTGACTGAATAATGCCCTCTAGGTACTTATAAGCTTCTATTAAATCACCCCTTGCCCTTCTATAAGCTATGCAACTGCAGGCATTCTATTCTCTCTCGATATCTGAAGTGCCATAGTGCAGACATTGCGTGGCCTTCCTTGGACTTTTCAATCAGCTGACAGTCTCTAGTATGTCTCAGGGACCAGATGGGATGACAATATAAACCAAGCGAGATGCCCCTACACTTTTGAAAAGTGTTATGAGGGCTGGCCCATCTAGGTACAGGTATGTACAATCTTTGTAAATTGTAAGTTCTATTAGTTTATTAATTGATTTACCATCTCACAATGGTCCAGAAATTCAGTTCCTTGTTAACGTAATCTGAATTCTAAATAAAATTGTCTATCAAACTGAGGTATAATGGTAACATTCATCTTTTTCTTCTAGTTAAATTATTTTAATTTCCATCCCTTATAAGCTTACTAGCCATTTGGGCAGTCAGTCTGCTCAGTGTTATTTTGTTATGACCTTCATTTCAGTGTTAGTACAGGAGGAAACCAGAGTACCATACCTTGAGAAAACCTGTGATGTTTGAGAATGAGGCCATCCTCGGCAGATCAGTGTTAGTACAGTACAGGAAGAAACCAGAGTACTGTAATCGCACCCTGAGAAAACCTGTAATTTTTGGGTAGGAGCACAATGGATAACACCCTTCTCACATCTGACCTAGCCCATGGATTGAGCCCTGGACCCAATGGTGAGAAGTGCAGTACATGTATTTTCAGTTATTATTCTGTATAGTTTTATGCAATTTATTCATCCATGCTGGGGAGGAATATTAAAATGGGATAACATGAAAATCATAATTTTTGGGATATGAAAACATTAAAATTCCAAACCTTAAATAGTTTCCTATTAATCTAAGTGTTAACAAATAAAGCACAGTAACATCACCATCACTTTCTAGGTGTCAAAGATCATTTCTGGAAAGTATCACATCAAAACCTAAATAGGAACATGGAGAGAATGTGAGATCATAAATAATAAGAAAATATAATAACCTTACGACCACTGTAATGTACTCAGGTTTGTGTGGCTCCTTAAGATGTACAATGCTGAAGTACAGTGAGTGCACATGTAGTTACTGGAAGGAGAACTTGAGCATGTATCTGATGCAGCTTGACTCTCCTTGTAGACTAGATATTCACTCTGGTGAAATCCACTAGTGGCCCACTTTTTCTGAGGAACTGGTTTGCCAACAGGTACTATGACCTCTTTGTTCTCGATGGTCAGTTTCTTATCTTTCTTAGGGTCTGCAGCAAAGAGTATAAATTAATGATACAATATTAGAACTTTGTAAATACAGGTACTTGATAAAAGTACCATACCTAAAATTCTAAGTAATAAATACAGACATTAATGTCTTGTTAAACACAAATTTCCAATTTAAAGAGAAAACATGTCTTTTAGCCAAAAGAATACCAAAGGGTTATCCTTGCAGTTTGTGCTGTAAAATTTAATACAGGGTATTGTTAAAAATCTCATTACAGTGTAGTACCTGTACATTGTTTGAATACCTACACTGTCTATACACAGTTTGTATACTTTACACTGACTATACCCACTGTTTGTATACCTACACTGACCATACCCATTGTTTGTATACTTACACTGACTATACCCATTGTTTGTATACCTACACTGTCTATACCCATTGTTTGTATACCTGCACTGTTAAAACACATTGTTTGTATACAGGCATTGTTTGTATATCTGCACTGTCTATGTACATTGTATATCAATACTGGCTATGTAAATTGTATACCTGCATTCTCTATAAACAAGTTGAATCCATATACGGTAAACTTGTTATGCCAATTTTACAGAATATTGTAGATGTCTACCGTATCTATCGCCGTACAGTATCGGGGTAAATACAGTTTGTGTCAGTACTGTACTTCCCCAGCTTAAAATCCTACTGTATAAACAAACAGTACAATATAACAATAACAAGAAATATGATTAATATATTATACAGTAATTCCTGTGTCAACAAAATGGGCATCTGAATACCAGTAACTTGACAGTCGTTTGACAGTTATAGCATAGTCATTGAATCTCATGAAGATTAGGATCCCCACTTATCTAATCCAGTCCAATCTAGCTCCCCTAGTGTTAAGGTACTCTGTATGTAATCATCAAGTGTTTATAAGCAGGATACCTACCTAATCTTCATGACATCCCATTCATTTAATGCAGGATACCTAATCTTCATGAGAATCCCAATCCTTTAATAAAGTCACACAAGAAATCACCTGGTTCGTTCCTCCCTCTGGCTACAATACTGTCGCACTCGCCAGGTGCTTTGGTGAGGCTGCCGTCACACTGAGTTATGCTGCTCTCTCGTCCCAGGGCCACCTCCACCAGGAACATGAAGCCCACCATATCCTCACCTCAAATTTACCAAAGTAAGGACCAACTGTTGAAGAGATCATGAATAACATTATCAGACATGATAACAATGTCTTCACTTTCCATCACTTCATTTGAGGCCACCGTAGTAAGGGGAACCACCGCGAGTTACCACCACAGCAAGTTTCAACAAGGTTTCCCTATCACAAAGTGTATTGTATGTGGATGACTCATCACCTGTTGTGAGTGAAAGTGAGGCGAGTGAACCCGAGGTTGGCCGTAAACGAACGTGCAGGCCTCACACGTGGAAGAGTAATGTTGCAAAAAGGCCAGAATGAAGGCAAGGCATACACCAGTCATATGACCAAATAATTACTACCAGCAAGGCAGGTAGGCACCCCCATGTGCCAATGGGTGTTTCACAAAGTCGCTTTTTCTCGATTTTAAAAATGTTACTTGTGCCCTTACTACTGAGGTGGCCTCATTTGATGTCTTAATGTTCACTGTGTTAAATGAAAATATAAAGTTATCAATGTGTTCTGAAGCTGCTTCTATAAAAGCTTACAATTAATTCTGAAGACATCAAATTTAGTTAAAGTCTTTAACCTAAGACTGAATAACCAATTATTTCTTAAGCCCATCTAATTACAGTGCCCCAGAGTGTTATAGACAACATGCTGGGGCAGACTTTATGACACATTCATTATCTTGAGAGGATGGAAGAAGTTTTTGATTAAGTCATTCACCACCAACACAAGAGGATGCAACTTCAAGCTCAGCAAAGTGTCATGCCACATAAATACAGCACAGTATAAGGGATAATATTGTTATGTAGAGGGTGGTAGACCTATGAAACAGTCTGCCAACTGAAGCTGTGCTAACAAAAACAACACTGGGCTTCAAAATAGCCCTGATAAGACAATCATGAACAATGGGGAACCTACACAGACCATTTGATTTCCTTCCCTGCCTTAGTCACCTCTTGATGAGAACCAGATGAAGATGTGGATAAATATGAGGCTTTATCTAGAACACAGGTAAGCAAGTAAGATCAACTATACTCTGGTTAATGATAAATTGATTTATTAAAGCTTTAATTTCTTTAACCTAAAATGTCATAATTCTGTTACTATATACAAGATTTTTGTTTATCGATGAGAATATTGCCTTCATAGAGTATGCTAGTACACCTTTTCACATATCCGTTGAGACATTGTAACATAACTATTTGACAAATTTCATACCGAATGACAGACAGAACACATTTCGAATGACAATAAAAATAACTGTTCGTTCATGCTAACGGAAATGATTGACATAAGTTATGAAGCTGACAGACATAAACTGACGGTCTACATATAGTTTGAGAATGTAACAATTGGAGAATGACATAGCACCAACAGTTATTTTTGATTGTCATTCAATATGTGTTCTGTCTGTCATTCGTAATGAAATTTGTCAAGTAGTTATGTAACAATGTCTCAACGGATATGTGAAAAGGTGTATTTCTTAACATTCTGCTTTATATGACGAGAATTTGTTTAAAAATTACAATTGACATTTCAATAAGATAACCCATAAGGCTGGGAAGCAATTACATTTTCAGATTGAGGTTGATAGAAATTTTTTAAGTTATCATTTCTACCACTTATCAGATTACTAGCCATTTGGGAGTTGGTCTGTTCTTGTTACAACTTTCATTGTCTAGTGTTAGTACAGGAGGAAAAAACAGTACCCAGAGAAAACTTGTGATATTTGATAGTGTCACACTGGATAATATACTCTTCCCACACCTGACCTGGGGGAGAGATCAAACCTAGGACACAATAGTGAGAGGCATACCAAGACCCTGATTTCAGATGTTTTGTTGAACTAGAACATGTGTGGCTGCATACTGTACATCCTAACACTTGAGTGAATTATACTAACTGCATACATCCTAACACCTCTCTGAGTGAATTATACTAACTGCATACATCCTAACACTTCTGAGTGAATTATACTAACTCTGCATACATCCTAACACTTCTGAGTGACTGTGATCCTAACTCTGCTTACATCATAAGTGACTGTGATCCTTATTTATCCTGTCAGATTCTAATATAGTACTGTACTGTACTTTAAATCCTGAAGCTTTCAACTTGGTTATGGATCTGTGTGATAAGTTGAGTAAAGGTCCTTCCTCATATCCTTCCCTTCCACCCAACTTTAATTCCTTATCCCATGTGTATGGGGTCCTCTCTGCTGAATAAAATCGTCTGGCATTAGCCAAACAAAAACATTGAAAGTGGCATCCCCATAATGAAGGGGTTAAATAAAGTAACTGTTTTCATTTATTGATCTTGGACTAAGTCATTCATTAAATTTGTTTTTGTGGTTTTGGCCTTTCACTCGCCATCCTCATCATTAAACTGTATACCAAGCTTTCTGAGGAAGACAAAGAAATACCATTAGCTGTAGATCCTCAGTTCACTTTGCTCTGTCTTCTGGCCATATGTTTTCTAATGCTGATGAAGATGTTGACCTGCTTGCTAACAGAGAATCTTGGGAGTTCATCCCAGAGCCAGTACTGTACTTCCAACAGTGTGTAACAGATAACAGACTGATTGCCCAACTGGCTAGTGACCTGACCAGGGGTAGTAAAAGTTATGTTAAATCCAAGATATTATTTGGATCTCTTCTTCAGGAGGATACAATAGGTAGAGTATTAGCAGAGATGGTCTCTGGAGGTACAAGGAGAATGTAGATTATCCATAATCACCGAGTCACTTTGAATGTGGTTATTCTAGTTGTGAATTCAGCATCTATTGTCAGACTTGGTCCAGGTATTAAGTTACTAATAAAGGGTCATGACCTTTATCCTCAATAGACCACAACATTTGCTGAACCATAGAGATGTATCACTCATTGCTTCTAATTGTTGATTACTAGTGTACTTACCGGTACTAACCTTGAATACATGCTCAAGGACTTAAATTGTTGGTGTTGTAATACATTATTATGTCAACAACAATTGCTTTAAAAATTGACTGCCTGTTCCATAATAATAGTCAATAAATCACCTAATACTTACCAGACCAACAACCTCTGGCATGTTCAGAGGCAAAGTAAATGCCACGGCCCACTAGTCCACCTGAGTGAGGCATGATTCTCAGTCCAGCCTTCAATATGGCTGCCACTACTGCCACCTCGGTCCTGCATCACAGCAACTTACGATGTTTGATGTCATCATGAGAGGCAAATCTGTAACATACAAGGATAGATTTAAGTTCTCAAAATTACAGTGGAAATATGCATCGAATGGCTTTATTGGTTATCCTTAGTCGAATTGACTAACTGTTTACCGTAGATTATATACCTGTACTGTCTAGGTACATTGTTTTTATACTGCAGTGTGTGTTATTGTATCCCTGCATTGTCTATGCACATGCTAAATTGTATACAGTACCTGCATTTACCAACCTTATTTACCTAATGGCCACCATTAGAGGTGGCCATACTGAAGGAAGAAGGCCAGTGGCCTGTAGGAACCCTCCATTGTTTCTTTATAGAGTTGTCAAGGGCTATTTTGATGCCCAATACTGTTTTTGTTAGCATGGCTTCAGGTGATAGACTGTTCCATTGGTCTACCACCCCTCTGTGAAGATTTCCTTATATTTGTCCTGAATGACATCTTGTTGTGCTGCCATCAGTGAATGATCTACCACAATATCTAAATTTTTCCATTTCAACAGCGTCCAGAAAAGTGGTATTAACAGAATAGTTGTGACTACGGTTGTTGTATCCTAAGTACAGAGTCCTACATTTTATTTACAAGCTGTTTTGGCGGTTGGTCTATCCAATGTTAGTCCTGGAGGAAACTGGAGTGCCCAGGAGAAATCTGTGATGTTTGGTAGGGTCATACTGATAACACCTTTCTAATGTGCATCCGGGCCAAGCAGGACTCAAACCCATATTGGTGAGAGATAACCCGCATTATCGCCTACAGTACCACCAACACTCGGGAATGTTTAAAAGCATTTGCCAGTCTTGTGACCATTTGAACACCTAGTGCAGCTCTTTTTGCATGGTTGCAACATTGTCTCGATGTACTACCTTCCCAAATATCTTCATGTTGTCCACAAATTTTCATTTATATCATAAATGTAGATCACAAACAGGTGCGTCCAAGGACAGAGCTTTGTAGTACATCACTAAGAACCTTTTTTCAATCATAATATACTCCATTTACTACCACTCTGTGTTGCTTGTCTTTAAGCCAGTTGTTAATCCACTTCAAAATCTTGCCTGTGATGTCATGTGCCTCATCTGAGGCTAGTCGGCAAGTAGGACTTCGCCAAATGCCTTGGAGAATCTATGTACAATACAACACATCCACTGTTAAGCCTTGGTCCATGTAGTGTGTCATCATTTCAAGGAGTGTGAGTAAGTTTGTCAGACTGGATTTTCTTCCCATGAAACTGTGTTGTGATGCTTTGATAAGACTGTGCTAGGTCAGGTGTTGGATGATGGCATCCCTCCTCAGAATTTTCTCAAGAGATTGATCGGCTTGTAATTTTCTGCAGCACTTTTTCTACACTTCTTGTTTACTGTGGTAATATTGACTGTTTCCAATCCCTAAGCACTTTAGTACTTTGATCCAGAGATGCTAATTCCAATAATATCTGGTTGTTCTGTGTCTGCATGTGTGTGCCAACACTTGATTGGTACCCGTTTCTAATACATGTGTTATCCTCTTGAAGGCTGTGAGTCTTGAGGGTTAGTAGAATCACTGCTTCCCTTGGGTTTTGTTCTCTCTGGGTTAGTAATACAGTATTACTTAAAGCTACATCATGCACTATGTTAACACTATTTACAGGTAGGTCACCTCTTGGCCCTACAGGAGGGAGGGCTGGAACAATACAGTATGTTGACCTCCCATCTTCCTGTACCCTGACTGCTTAGCCTCTTCTGATCTTTAGTTAACCATTCCATTGTCTACATACAGTACTGTACATGGTGAATCAACTAATGTCAACCTATATGATGATGTTAGTGAATAAACTGAATCTGAATTATTTAAATATTTTAAAACCATAATGTAATGTGAAAACTATAATTTGTCACTTCTTTTAGGCATCTGACACTTTCCCACGTCAACTCGCCACAAATCCAACAACGGTCCTTGTCTGGAGTCGGGGCAGCTTATGTATTCTTGAATGATCTGCAAAATTATACACATTTCTGAGGTACTGTTGAAGTAACAGACAATCTCCCACTAACACAGTAATGTAAAATAATTTGTAATGTAAATTATGCATGCTGCTGGTCAGACCTACAATCACAATAAATAGACCATTAGTGCAGTATTGTTCACTCACTGCTAGCCCCAAAAAACACTAATACTGTGCTGTATACAGTATCCAGTATTTATGATATACAGGGTATGTACAACTGCATTAGTGTTTGGAATTTTCTGTAAAAAAATATATATATATTTTATATTCTCAATTGTTTTGTCTCTCAATCTCTTGTATTGTCTCATAAATAACGGTTATACTGTATTTGTAAAAGTCTGGGGTACCTGCAAGTGTCTCACCCTGTATAAGAACAAAACTTATTCTTCAAAGTAATTCAACAAGACGAACACCGAAAATCTAGACAGTGTGGGTGAGAGCAGTAAACGTCTCTAACATAGATATGATGGGTGATGTGGCCTTATGAGTGTACAGCACTGTAATATTAAAAGATAATGTTACCTTGAATTCTGGTTCCTTCTTGTTAACTAATTCAAGAACACAGTCCAGCATCTCATATTTCTCCATTAAGGGATGAATGCCCTTGTTGGCCTGTAAAACAGTGTATTATTTCAAGAGTATGACCAGGTTAATTACATGTTAGGTCATGAATGAAAATAGTCTTAATTTCTTCTGATTCTTCTCAAAGATTAACTTAACTCACATTCATAAATATAAAACAGATAAAAATCTTTTGTAGAATATTTTAACATTTTTAAAGAGATTAAGATGATGTTGTTACAATGGAACATTACCATATCCTTCTGAAGGCTCTGTGTCAGCTCAATGTCACTGAGAGTAAACATGTCTTCCTTCTTGCTCTGCACCATACTGTCTTTGTACATGACTGGTGGGACGGAGCGGCCAAGGCATGAGGGACGAGGGTGTAGAACTTGGATGACAATTCTGACAGCACTCGAGGCTGTAAGGAATATTGACACTCAGTACCCTAGGGCAGTTACAACCTTGATAAAAATATATGATAAATTTCTACTTGTTAAGCTGCCATATTATGATACTATACACATATTCCTTACCTTATTGGTCTTGATGGCCTCTTCTATGTCTAAGAGAGTCTCAAGACCTTTTGTTATCTGTAGTTTACTCAGCTTTCCCAGAGGCATCTTTTCGGACATCTGTGATACACTAGCAAATTGCATTTCACACTAATTCATATCATGTCATTTCTAAAAAGTCAATACAGTACAGTACTTCAAGTTACATTGGATGATGGGTTTATAATATACCCTGAGTGAGGGAAAGTAAGAACAAAAATAAACAAGCCAACACTTTACACTGTCCACTATGCAAAACAAAAACTTATGTATTTTCAATTATGTAATAATAAATACAGGGCAGCATACATAGAATATATCGAACAATAAATTTACCCACTATCAATTTCCACTACCTTTTACAGCTATAATATACTTTCTCCAAAAGCTTTTTACATTAATTTTATTATAAAAAAGTGTGTTTACCTAGTGTCTGCAGTGTACGGTTCCATGACAAAACCCAACGGACAAAATCCCAGCGGGTTGTCATTTGTCAACACTAACCTAACCTAAACATAAAAGTTATATTTTATATACCGGTACTGTATGAGACTGGGGTTTTGTCTGTGCACGTGCTGTACTGTGGTCCCCTGAGTGACTGTGGTTCTTACAGTGATGGTTCACACTATCCTCAGATATAATCAAGATCATAATTTTGCTCCACAACTTCAAGAGAGTGAGTAAAACTGCCAGTGACCAGCCTCTCATCAAAATTGGAGCATTGATGACATATTAAAATCTGTTTGCAGGAATCTATAATAGAGTATTTCAATTAAGAATAAAGATACATTACTGTACCTGTGCTATGAAAACTCTGTACAGTACTGTAGTGTTAAAATACTTGAACATAAATATCATAGTATGATTTCTCTAATGTTTATTTATACAAATACAATCACAATCTAAACTTAGATAATGTACTTTCTTACCAAGCTTCATAGTTGACATTTGGTCTACGAACATTTCATCAGAGAAGATGAGTTTAATCATGACCTGAGTCTGTGTGGTAGTGAACAAGATCCAGAGAAGGGCACCAACTCTTTCTTCAGCTGCCCAGAGTCAACAGTGTCTACCCTCATCCTCATCTTCATCTTCATCTGTTAAAATAAAAACGAATCAGAAGCAATGGTCAATACTATCAAACCTCTTTCAACGATAAAGTTCGCCGCCATCTTTGTTGTTTACATTACCTAAGTCAATCAGCAATCATCTCAAAATGTATACAGTAGCCCCCCCCAAGTAGGTCTCTTCATATTTCCGTTATCTATGTGTGTTTGTTGAACATTTTATGGCCATTATGTCTTTGAAACAGCCTGCAAGTGCATGTGTTGGTAAACCATCCAAGATGCCCAGGAAAGTCATAGGACATGAAAATGATTTGAAAGGTTGAGGCAGGCCAACATCAGGAGGAGTATATGTGCAGTAGGGTGAGGCAGCGGCAGTAAACCACAGCAAGCTCCAAAATAATTTAACTGGTGAGTGTCATTAAATTTAGTTTCATGTATTATTAATATAAACAAAGTCTTCATTTGAAAGTAAAAGTTAAGCATTGCATTATCATCTGGCAGCCAGACTTACTGTGTTATGTTATTCTCGATTATAACTCACCGATCTCAATTAAGTGTATTTTCCTGGACGTGGTGAATTTTCTCTGTCATCCCAATTATTTTTTGACTTGTCTTTAAACTTCTTCTTGAAGGCATTTATTGCTCCATCAACATCTGCATGCACATCAGAGTTGGACTGGCCTTCTTCTCCACAGCAAATTAACATTACTACAGTATAGATAAGGTGAACACTTAGGAGATGTAGAACTATCACATGACAATTAAATCAAATCAAACTGAGTTATGTGCATGAAGAAGTATCATTACTGAAATGCTAGAAGGGGTCCTCCAGTGACTAGCCATAAATTATTGTAGGACGTCATATATTTTATTTCAATTCTTCTAGAAACCCCCCACAAAAAAAAAAAAAAACTACTGCATTACTAGAAAACCCAATAAAAAACTACTGTATTAGGTATAAGGTACAGTACAGTAGGCTGATTATCAATCTATACTGGAGGTCCAGTGAAGGCCATCTCCTATGGGTCCAGTGTTAGTATAAGAAACTGCAGCACCCAGAAAAAGCCTGCAGAGTTTGGTAATATCACTCTGAACAAAATACTTCTCTTGTCAGATCTAAATAGGTATTGACCAAGTCACACTTCAGAAATATGGCAGATTTGAAGTCTATACAAGAATAAACACTGGCAGTCACATGGAGAAGTACAAGAGTGCTAAACAAATGTACAAACATCTCAGAGGCACTACTCAGTTGAGTGTCCATACTTGAACTGGCAGATGCCTGCCCCACAGGGGTCACAGCTCAAGGTTGAAGAAGCCACAACTCCAGAAAACTGTGAGGGTAAACTTTTTGGAGTGAGAATTGTGAACTCATGGAACAACCTGCCAGAGAGTGTTGTGACAGCACAGTGTGAGCTCTTTCAAGACCAGACTTGACCAACACTGGAGCAGGTTCAGATACATTCAGGGGCCATTCCATGCCCAGTACTTGCCAACAGTGCATAACAGAGACGTGACCAACTGCCCAAGCAGCTAATGAGCTGATCAGTAGTGAAGAGGATAAGAGTAAAAAGTAAAAAGTACAGTAATGAAGGACATCAGATATACAGAAAAATATTATGAGGGAAATAAGTTACCCAAAGAAGTTATAGAATATGCCAAGATGTTTTGAAGGTTTCAAACATAAGTGTAACAACAAATAAAATATATTTACAGTATACATAAAGTCTTGCAATGTACTGTATTCTTGTTGTTTTGTGAATTAAGAGAGAAAGCAATTACAGAAGATAAGAAGATATCATCAAAAAAAAATAGCAAGCTTGAAAGAATTCAAAACTCCCGGAGTAGATGGAGCACAGACTAAGGTGACTGAGGAGGTGGAACGAGATTTGCACTCCACTAAGAATTAATCAAGAAATCTTTTGGATCAAAGTAAAGTGCCTAGGGACTGGAAAACTCCAATGTCACCCGGTAAGCAAGAAGGGTAAAAAAGAGCAGCAGAAAACTACAGGCCAATAAGCCTGAAGTTCCATATACAGCATACAAGCTCTTTGAAAAAATTCTGAGGATGCCATCATCCAACACCTGACCGACACAGTCTTATCAAAGCATCACAACACAATTTCATGGAAAGAAAATCCTGCTTGACAAATTTACTCCTCTCCATGAAACAGTTACAGACTCAACAAACTAAGGATTTCTCAAAGGCATTGACTAGTGCCCCATATATGCACAACACTCCAAGACAGGCACATGGCATTGGCAAGATTTTGACGTGGATTAACAAATGGCTCAAAGACAGGCAACAAAGAGAGTATTAAATAGAGTACATTGTGAATTGGAAAAGGTTCTCTTAAGAGCACCACAAAACTATCTGGACCCACCCTGTTTGTGATCAACATAAACAAAATAGATGAAAACATATCGAGCCACAGTGTCAAGTTTGCAGACGACACAAAGATATTTGGGAAGGTTGCAAGTCAGGTATATACCAGCCATTTTTGTGATGTTACACCACCAACATGAAGGACATAACTATAAGCTCACCAAGTTATCATGCAAAACAAACACAAAATATTTCTTCACACAGAGGGTGGTAGACCCTACGGAACAGTGCACCAGCCCAAGCTGTGGAATCAAGAACAGTACTGTGCTTCAAAATACACCTGTAGCCCTTGACAAATTTTCAAGAACAATGGAGGACACCTCGCAGGCCACTGGCCTCCTTCACTCGGCATTACCACTTCTAGTGGTGACCATTAGGTAAACAAGATAAATGTTGAATAGCAGTAGCATGCACCTCTCACACCAGTGTCCAGGGCTTAATTGCAGGCCTGCGGCAGATGTGAAAGGTGTCATCCAGTGTGATCCTTCCAAACATGGCAGTGTTTCCCTGGTACTGTAATCCAATTTTACTCCTCTACTAACACTGGGCAATGAAAGTTATAAAAGGCCAACTGCTCAAATAGCTATTAAGCTGATAAATGATGGAAATGATAAATTGAAAAACAACAAACTTACCGTCCCCAGCGAGTGAAACATATGAAACTTTTCTTGTCTTTATTCACTTGAATGATGTAGAACTTGTTGTTGTTTGGCCAATGTTGGTTTGGTTCAGCATACATGAATAATCTTCATGTATAGTTGCCTGATTTATGAACAACAATAAGAATCTACTACTGTTATTATATAACACAGACAGTGCTGTATTAATTTCACAATCTATTTATATAATTTTGAACTTTTCTACCCTAATATATGAGAGAGATAGAGATGTTAAAGATGTATGAAAAAAAACACAAATAACTGGCAGACAACACAACCAATACATGGTCACCTTTACCTTAGGATATGTTCTAAGAAGAATTTCATCAGGTTTATATTTCTTCTTTTGTCATTCTGTGGCTCAGATTCCTTGGCCTCATATGGCTCGTCTCAACTGAGTATTTTCACTCTCTCTTCCTCTTGAGCTTCAGCTGGCACTTCACTGGGTATAACAAACGATATATAATTATTCTTTACAGGTTGAAATACAATATAGAAGATAAAATAACTCAACTTTTGGATTTTCAAAAGTATTCAATTAAGAGATAGGAAAAAGTGGTGGTATAAGTACAGTACTGTATAATATAACTCGTCTACAGTGCATCAATAGGACTTCTCACAACTTCTGAATGCTAACACGATTTGGGGTTTACTCATCCTTATCATCATTGCCGTTTTACAGACATATTCCATGGTTGTGCAGGCTAGCCATGGCTATTTGATGGCAGTTCTCCATGTTCTCTTGTTAGGGTTCTTGTTTTGATATTGTTTCTTAAACTTCTCCCCATGACATTGTTGGTCTCCTAGCTCTCCTCCCCTCCACATTGTTGGTCTACTCTAGCTCTCCTCCCTCCACATTGTTGGTCTACTCCCTAGCTCTCCTCTCCTCCACATTGTTGGCCTCTCCTAGCTCTCCTCTCCTCACATTGTTGGTCTACTCCCTCTCCTCTCCTCATTGTTGGCCCTCCTAGCTCTCTCCTCCCACATTTGCTTCTCCAGCTCTCCCCTCACATTGTTGCTTCTCCTAGCTCTCTCCCTCCACATTCTTGTCCTCCCTAGCTCTCCTCCCCTCCACATTGTTGGCCTACTCCTAGCTCTCCTCTCCTCCATTTTTCTCCTAGCTCTCTCCCATTGTTGCTCTCCTACTTGTCCCCTCCCATTGTTGGTCTACTCTAGCTCTCCTCCCCTCCCACATTGTTGGCCTACTCCTAGCTCTCCTCCCTCACATTGTTGGTCTACTCCCTAGCTCTCCTCCCCTCCCACATTGTTGGTCTACTCCTAGCTCTCCTCCCCTCCCACATTGTTGGCCTACTCCTAGCTCTCCTCCCCTCCACATTGTTGGTTTACTCCTAGCTCTCCCCTCTCCTCCCATTGTTGCCTACTCCTAGCTCTCCCCTCTCCTCCACATTGTTGGCCTCTAGCTCCTCTCCTCCCACATTGTTGGCCTACTCTAGCTCTCCTCCCCCTCCCTTCTTTAGCCTCCTAGCTCTCTCTCCTCCCATTGTTGGCCTCTAGCTCTCCTCCTCCCATTGTTGGTCTCTCTGTCTCCTCCCCTCCCATTGTTGGCCTACTCTGCGCTCTCCCCTCCCCATTCTTGGCCTCCCTAGCTCTCCTCCCCTCATTGTTGGCCTCCTAGCTCTCCTCCCCTCCCATTGTTGGTCTCCCCTAGCTCTCCTCCCCTCCACATTGTTGGCCCACTCTAGCTCTCCTCCCCCTCACATTCTTGCCCTCTAGCTCTCCTCCCCTCCCATTGTTGGTCTCTCCCAGCTCTCCTCCCCTCCCATTGTTGGTCTACTCCTGCTCTCCCTCCCCTCCACATTGTTGGCCTCTAGCTCTCCTCCCCTCCCACATTGTTGGTCTACTCCTGCTCTCCTCCTCCCACATTGTTGGCCCACTCTAGCTCTCCTCCCCCACATTGTTGCTTCTCCTAGCTCTCCTCCCCTCCACATTGTTGGTCTCTCCTAGCTCTCCCCCTCCACATTGTTGGTCTACTCTAGCTCTCCTCCCTCCACATTGTTGGCCTCTCGCCTCCTCCCCTCATTGTTGGTCTCTCCTAGCTCTCCTCCCTCCCACATTGTTGGTCTACTCCTAGCTCTCCCTCCCCTCCCACATTGTTGGTCTACTCTAGCTCTCCTCCCCTCATTGTTGGTCTCTCCTAGCTCTCCTCCTCCCACATTGTTGGTCTCTCCCTAGCTCTCCTCCCCTCACATTGTTGGCCTCTCCTAGCTCTCCTCCCCTCCACATTGTTGGCCTCTCCTAGCTCTCTCCCCTCCACATTGTTGGCCCCTCTGCTCTCCTCCCCTCCACATTGTTGGTCTACTCCTCTCCTCCCTCCCACATTGTTTGGTCTACTCTAGCTCTCCTCCCCTCCACATTGTTGGTCTACTCTACCTCTCTCCCCCCTCCCATTGTTGGCCTCTAGCTCTCCTCCCCTCCCACATTGTTGGCCCCTCTAGCTCTCTCCCCTCCACATTGGTCTCTAGCTCTCCTCCCCTCCCACATTGTTGCTTCTCTAGCTCTCCTCCCCTCCCACATTGTTGGTCTACTCCTAGCTCTCCTCCCCTCCCATTGTTGGTCTCTCCTAGCTCTCCTCCCCTCCCATTGTTGCTCCCTCCTAGCTCTCCTCCCTCCCATTGTTGGTCTCTCTCCTAGCTCTCCTCCCCTCCCATTGTTGGCTTCTCCTACTCTCCTCCCCTCCCACATTGTTGCCCTCCTAGCTCTCCTCCTCCACATTCTTGGCCCCTCCTAGCTCTCCTCACTTCCACATTGTTGGCCCCTCTAGCTCTCCTCCCCTCCCACATTCTTGGCCTACTCCTAGCTCTCCTCCCCTCCCATTGTTGCCTCCTAGCTCTCCTCCCCTCCCACATTGTTGGCCCCTCCTAGCTCTCTCCCCTCATTCTTGGCCTACACCTAGCTCTCCTCTCTCCCCTCCCACATTCTTGGCCCTCCCTAGCTCTCCTCCCCTCCCACATTGTGCCCTCCCTAGCTCTCCTCCCCTCCACATTCTTGGCCTACACCTGCTTCTCCTCCTCCCCTCCACATTCTTGGCCCCTCCTAGCTCTCCTCCCTCCCACATTCTTGCCCCTCCTAGCTCTCCTCCCCTCCACATTGTTGGCCTCTGCTCTCCTCCCCTCCCACATTCTTGGCCTACACCTAGCTCTCCTCTCCTCCCCTCCACATTCTTGGCCTCCTAGCTCTCCTCCCCTCCACATTCTTGGCTCCCCACCTAGCTCCTCTCCTCCCTCCACATTGGCCCTCCTAGCTCTCCTCCCCTCCACATTGTTGGTCTACTCCCTAGCTCTCCTCCCCTCCCACATTGTTGGTCTACTCCTAGCTCTCCTCCCTCCCACATTGTTGGTCTCTCCTAGCTCTCCTCCCCTCCCATTGTTGGTCTCCCTAGCTCTCCTCCCCTCACATTGTTGCTTCTCCCTAGCTCTCCTCCCCTCCACATTGTTGCTACTCTCTCTCTCCTCCCCTCCCACATTGTGCCTACTCCTAGCTCTCCTCCCCTCCCACATTGTGTCTCTCCTAGCTCTCCTCCCCTCCCACATTGTTGGCCTACTCCCTGCTCTCCTCCCCTCCCACATTGTTGGTCTCCCTAGCTCTCTCCTCCCCTCCCACATTGTTATTTCTCCCTAGCTCTCCCTCCCACATTGTTGCTTCTCCTAGCTCTCCTCCCCTCCCATTGTTGGTCTACTCCCTGCTCTCCTCCCCTCCCATTGTTGGTCTACTCCTAGCTCCTCCCCTCCCATTGTTGGTCTACTCTAGCTCTCCTCCCTCCACATTGTTGGTCTACTCCTAGCTCTCCTCCTCCACATTGTTGGTCTACTCTGCGCTCTCCTCCCCTCCCATTCTTGGTCTACTAGCTCCCTCCCCTCCACATTCTTGTCCCTACTAGCTCTCCTCCCCCATTCTTGGTCTACTGTCTCTTCCCCCCACATTCTTGTCCTACTAGCTCTCCCCCCACATTCTTGGTCTACTAGCTCTCCTTCCCTCCACATTCTTGTCCTACTAACTCTCCTCCCCACATTCTTGGTCTACTAGCCTCCTCCCCCCCCACATTCTTGGTCTACTAGCTCTCCTCCCCCACATTCTTGGTCCACTAGCTCTCCTCCCCCTCCACATTGTTGTACTACAGCTCTCCTCCCCTCCACATTCTGGTCTACTAGCTCTCCTCCCTCCACATTGTTGTACTACTAGCTCTCCTCCCTCCACATTCTTGGTCTACTAGCTCTCCTCCCTCCACATTGTTGTACTACTAGCTCTCCTCCCCCACATTCTTGGTCTACTAGCTCTCCTCCTCCACATTGTTGTACTACTAGCCTCTCCTCCTCCACATTCTTGGTCTACTAGCTTCTCCACATTGTTGTACTACTAGCTCTCCTCCCTCCACATTCTTGGTCTACTAGCTCTCTCCCTTCCCATTGAAACTCATGCAACTCTTCACCCAGTTGGTTTCCCATTCTCTCCATATGACCAAACCATCTCAGCCTTCCTTCTCTACCAATACTCTAAGCTCTGAATATTTTTTCCAATCTTTCAATTTAACATTTCACATCCACTCTCCATTTCAGCTCACCAAGCCTCAATTACTGCCCTGTTTCACTATCGTATTAACATCCACACTTTTCACGCTTGACAAGTTATTAAGTCAATAATTTACCCACCGAGTACAAACAATAATGATAACTTACTCGTCCTCGGTAGTCTTGCGCTTGGTGGCTCCTCTTCCGCCCTCTTCCTCGCCCACGAGCCATCTGAAATACCGTATACTGTACATATAGTGGACCCGAGTCACTAGTTATGGTATATAGTACAGTAACAGATTAACTAGATACAGTATAACTTTATAAATACAGTACAACAATTTAACTAGATACAAACAATTTAATCAAGTAACCTAGCAAACTTAATCTGACCTGACCTAACCTAACCCACAGGTAGCATTAAGGTGTTTAATCATCCTGTGGTAGGGGATAATCTGCAGGTGATCCATAACCACTAGAGTTACTGCACCCAAGTTTATTAATATTATGTTTATGAACTATTTCCCCCATTTATTGAGTACCCCTTACCTACTGATGATTGACTCTCCACATATCA